ATGGAGGGCGCCACCAAGCTAACGCAGAGCAACGCCATCCTGCGCTACATTGCCCGCAAGCACAACATGTGTGAGTGCAGGGATGGAGGTGGAGGGGTCCCAGCAACAAGGGGGGGGTCCCCCGTATGGGATGGCGGGGGTCTGATGTCTCCCACGTCCCCCCCCACAGGTGGTGAGACAGAGGAGGAGATCCAGCGTGTGGACATGCTGGAGAACCACATCCTGGATTTCCGCCTGGGGGATTTGCAGAGCTCTGTTACAGCCCTGACTTTGTTGGTACCCCCATGCGATGGGGAGAGCTCCATCCCCTTGGGGACCCTGCAAAACCATCCTCAACTCCCCCCAGACCCTCTCATCCCGCTGGGGTCTTGTCCTGGACCCTGCTGGGTTCCTGTCCCCCCCCAGTGTCTTGTCCCCAGCCCCACTGGTGACACGGGGACAAGGGGAACCGAGGCAAAGGGGGCACATTGGGGTGTCCCCTTGCCTGGTTGGAGGCAGGGGGTGATGCCCACGGCTGCTTGGGATTTTGGGGGTGCATCCCCCCCGTATCTCTGTGCCCTCCATTAGGAGAAGCTGAAGCCAGGGTACCTGAAGGAGCTGCCGAGGAGGCTGCGGGAGCTGTCGTGGTTCCTGGGCTCCCGGCCCTGGTTTGCAGGGGAGAAGGTAGATGAGGGGTGCTGGGGGTGTGTCGGGAGGTCCCTGGGGGGGTTCCTGTCACACACCACTCCCCCTCTCCCTGTCCCCAGCTCACCTTTGTGGACTTCGTGGCGTATGATGTGCTGGACCAGCACCGCATGTTTGTGCCCAACAGCCCTGAGCTGAGCGGGAGCCTGAGCCGGTTCCTGGAGCGCTTTGAGGTGACAGGAGCAGGGACACCCCGTGACACTGGCACCTCAATGTCCCTGTGCCCAGCACCCTGGTGACACTGACCTGTCCCTGGAACCCCAGTGTCCCTGTGCCCATCCTGGACACCATCATCCTCATGTTTGAATCGCTCATGTCCCCATCCCTGACACCCCAATGTCCCTGTCCTCAATACCCTGGTGTTCACATTGCTGTTCCCAATACCTCAATGTCCCAGTCCCCATCCCAAGCCTCATCCTTGAATCCCCGGTGTCCCCATCCCTGTGCCCAACACCCCGACACCCCCATCCCCATCTGTGACACCCCGACATCCCTGTCTCCATTTGTGACACCCCAGTGTCCCCATCTCTGTCCCCAGCACCCTGGAACCCCTGTTGCCATCTGTGACACACCAGTGCCCTCATCTCTCGTACCTCCATCCCCATCCCCATCTGTGTCCCCCCGTTGTCCCCCCCAGGCACTGGAGAAGATCTCAGCCTACCTGCACTCAGGGCGCTGCATGAGGACCCCCATCTTCTGGCGCACGGCGCGGTGGTGCAACACCAAGGAGTGATCGGGGGACTCCTCCAAACTCCTGCCCACTTCCTGCAGAATAAATTGATGGGGGCTGCCCCTTGTCCCTTGTCCTACTGCAATGTGGGTGCACCCAGGGCTGAGGGGTGGGGTGGGGGGGC